GGTGTCCACTGTTCTTGGACCTCAACCGTGAAAAGCCAGTGAGTGTCGTTTGTATCACCATGCCAATCATTCCCACAAATTTCCAAAATATCCTTGGGGGTGATTCCGTCCCCATGAGAACCATGGTTCTAACTCAACTCCCTGATTTCACAGGAGAGGGAATCATTCCCTTGGGAAAGGAAACGCTACCTCCTGGATTACACAGGGATTTAGAGATTAAGCACAAACCAGAATCTCCTGACTCCTTGCTCTGAATCAGGGTTCTGTCCACCATAACAGTCAAGTAGACTCAGGTTCAAATCCTGACTCTGACTTTAGGCAAATTGCTTCACCTTTCTGAACCTCTGTTTTATTATTTCCAAAACTGTGATTAAAAATGGCATTTTTTGTTAAAGGCTTGTGAGACTTAAACAAGATTTTGACTCTAAATTTCTGGCACATAGTGAGATCTCAACACATAATAGCGATTATTACACCCCTTTAAAGCTCACTTATTTTTTATAATATATTTTTATTGACTTCAGAGAGGAAGAGAGAGTGAGAGATAGAAACATTAATGATGAGAGAGAATCATTGATAGTCTGCCTCCTGCCCCCACACTGGGGATTGAGCCTGCAACCGGGCATGTGCCCTGACCGGGAATAGAACCGTGACCTCCTGGTTCACAGGTCGACGCTCAACCACTGAGCCATGCCAGCTGGGCTAAAGCTCATTTATTTAAGTGCCAACAGAATTTGGTGTATCATATTGCTGGAGAAATTATCCTTGAACCTTCCTCTGCAGAGAAACACTTCTTTATCTTTATCCTTCTAATTCTTCACACAGTCCCTTTCCAGGGGAAAGTAACCTCTTCCCCACCAAGCTGTCCTAAACCACATTGAAGAACAAAATGTCTTGGGCTGAGCAGCTCAGAACCCCTTGACACTGAAAAAGAACCTTGAAGCTGAAATTTGGTTTGAAAAGGAGGAAGGCAGATGGTGGAATTTTTGAACACTTATTTTGTACCAGATGCATTGCAAATGGTCTATTTTTTTTCATTCTCTTAACACCCTGAGAGGTGGATATTGTTTATTACTACCTCTATTTTATAGATGAGAAATATGGCCTTTCTTAAGGTTGCACAGAGCCAAGATGGAAATCAGATCTTATACTAGTAGACATTCTCTTGATTTGGGTTCTTCAAAAGCAGATCCTGAGGCCAGGATTTGGGGACAAGTATTTTATATGGGAGGAGTATTTGTTACCAAGCATTGCCTCTCTGCTCTGTGATAAAGGAATTCCTTTAAGTATTTCTCCTTCAATGTGAGCACAATGTTCATTTTTCTCGGTAGAAGGCGCTAGAGGGACACGGTGCTGGTGGTCTACTCTCACATGCACTCTGGAGGGTGGCCTCTTGCATTTTTGAGACCTGTAGACTAGCTCCCAGCAGGCCAGAGCAGCAGACTTCTCTGCTAGTCCGTGTGTGGGCAGAACCACATCTCAGAGATCTGGATCCCTCCCAACTTTGTCCTTGCGTGGGTACTCACCCTAAGCCATAGGGTGCCTGATAGTTTCCTTGTATCTTACAGTTACTCTTTATCAGAGTTAATGATGCTTTGCATTAGTCTTTTTTTTTTTTTGGTTTAAATTACTGTGTGGTTTCTGTCTCCAGAATGGACTCAGATTGTCACAGGAGGTGATCCTAGGAAGAAGCCAAGAGAGTGGAGAAGGGCAAAAAGCCAAAAGGAAGGGGTTAATGAGTGGGTCACTACTGGGAGCACCTGGGGCTCAGTCGCATTGGTGTCCCTCTGAGAGCCACACACAGCAGGGTTGCCTTGGCAAGAGGCAAGAGGGCTGGATACGGATCTACCATCTCTCATCTCTCATTGGTTGAGGGTTGCTCTTGGGGACCTTAACTTTTTGATACTTTTGTCCTGCTCTGCATGCCTGAACTGTCCAGGGCATACTTTTGTAACCAGAAAAAGCCTCCAGGCCCAGCCAGCGTGGTTCAGTGGTTGAGCATTGACCTATGAACCAGGAGGTCACAGTTCAATTCCCAGTCAGGTTGAGGGCTTGATGCCCAGTGTGGGGCGTGCAGGAGGCAGCTGATCAATGATTCCCTCTCATCATTGATGTTTCTCTCTCCCTCTCCCATCCTCCCTGAAATCACTAAAAATATATTTTATTTTATTTTATTTTTTTTTAAATATATTTTATTGATTTTTCACAGAGAGGAAGGGAGAGGGATAGAGAGTTAGAAACATCGATGAGAGAGAAACATCGATCAGCTGCCTCCTGCACACCCCCAACTGGGGATGTGCCCACAACCAAGGTACATGCCATTGGCCGGAATCGAACCTAGGACCTTTTAGTCCGCAGGCCGACGCTCTATCCACTGAGCCAAATCGGTTAGGGCCCCATTGATTTTTAGAGAGTGAAAGGACCCCCCCCCCCCCCAGTTGGAGAGAAGCAGGGCCTTGATGGTGATTTATCTTGATGCGTGCATGAGAACTCCTACTGAAACTGTGGGTGACCTTGAGGCCTGGCCAAGGGCATGTGGGTAGGCCCTGATGCATTTCCTACAGACCCATTGCAGGTGCTGAATGACAGAAGGGAATCTGTCAGCCAGATGCTGATGAAGGCTGAACTCGAGGGGGGGTTTTCTGGAAAAGTCAGTCGCAGATCAAATGTTTTCCTAGCTGGTATAATTTAATCCTACAGTCAGTATTTACTATGGATAATTGGATTTTTCTTTGACCTTGGCAGTCTCTCTGGCTTGCTGTCTGCACTGGAAGACACCGTTTTTAAACTCTTTTCAATACAATGAGTCAAACGTGACTTTCATCGAGAGCTGGCAGCCCTGCTATTTTCAGGAGGGGCCGATGGCTGGGGTATCCAACCACAGAAAGGCAGTGGAGTTTGTATTTGCTGTGTTGCCCTTTACAAAAACATTTCAGCTGAAGCAAAAGGCTTTTTCCACCACCCTGGGCGTTTTAATAGAAATCTTGGTAGCATTAAGCCCTTTTAATTCTGAGCACCAGCTTCTAAAGTTCAGTGACGCCAAAGCTCTATTCTGGCATGGAACACAGCAGCGATCAAGACGAGAGATTTTCATCAGCGGGGGCACCAGAATGGAAACACAGGCAGGAGACAGACACATTTATTACAAACGGACAGGGACAGTGTTTGTGGGTAATGTGGGCTGAAGAAGGTCATTTCTATATTAAACATTTGAAGTCATTCACATCTTGCAATAATATTTTTAATCTCCACCTGAGGGCATTTTTTCCATTGTTTTTTAGAGAGAGGGGAAGGGAAGGAGGGAGAGGGAGAAAAGGAGAGAGAGAGAAACATCAATGTGAGAGAGACACATTGGTTGCTCCTCTCCTGGCCGCCCCCCCCAAGTGCTCCAATGGGGTTCTGGGATGGAACCTGCAGCCCAAGTATGTGCCCTTGATGCGGAATGGAACTCCAGATCCTTCTGTGCACAGGCCAATGTTCTAACCACTGAGCACACCAGCCAGGGCACATCTTGCAATAGTTTAACCAGTTTATATGGTTTCCCCAACTGGCAATATCTAAAATGCTCCATGAAGAAAGAACAAGAAAGCTTACTTCTCTCCTGAATTGGAAGGACCTCTGGGACATGGTGTTATGTAGACCAGGGTTGAGTAGCTATTGTATGAGAAAGAAGGAAAAAAGATTATATAGTTATATTCGCTGTATTTACTTAAAAATCTAATAACAGTGTCTGGGTAAGAAAGACAGAAACAAGGGGTGATATTTTTTTCAATTTACAATTTTTACATACTTTTGATTTCAAACTCATGTCAACGTATTACCTGCTCAAATAAAGAAATACATTGCTCAGTGAAAAATAATCCTTGAAGAGCAAGCTTCTGTTCTCTGATCATTTTTTACAACCTGTTAAGGTAACTTCAGATGGAAAATGCATTTCACCAAATTAAAGCATATACACACAGTGAATCCTTTGCAAACGTTTAGGGTTTGAGTGTTTTTTGACGGTGGATATTTTTTATGTCTATGCTGCTATTTGTCATCCAGGCAGCAGGGGGGAGTGTTTCTCTGTTTTTCTTTGTGTCTTTCCCTTCCTCCCCAACTGCATAGGCAAAACCATCCAAGAATTCTCTTATTCAAATCTATGCACAAAATGCACCACAGTTTCTAGATTTATGTTGTTTTTCTCTCATCCCCCAAATTTTTGGGGGACTTGAAAGGCTTCCAGCAGGCTGCTTAATGATTTTTCAAAAAGGGGCTGATTATTGGGTTTAGTGGTGTGAAGTTTTTCTTTCCTCTTCTCTCTGTCCCCTTCTTGTCATTCCACTCACTCCCATGAATCACTTTCCATAATCAAGTCATAGAAAAAAACCTTAAATGAACAAAATTCACATCTCTCTCTCTCTCTCTCTCTCTCTCTCTCTCCCCCCAGAGGAGACTCAGGTCTCAGAAGGCAAAACAAACAATTAAACAAATAAAAAGAGGGTGGACTTTGGACCTCTATGAAAGCTAATGGGGGAAGAGAACCAGTGTCGGGTGTTATTCTGTGTGCCTGACTGACGCTGTACCTGCCTTAACTCTTTACATCTTCACAACATGTATGTGTCATTAGAGCTATTCTGTGAAGGAGGAGATGAAAGCTCATAGAAATGAGCAACTTGCCCAACTTTCTGTTGCTGCGAAATGATAGAATGGAATTGCAAGCCAGACTGCATCCAAAGCTGGAACATGTCATTATTTTCCCTACCCCATAGTAAGTAAACGGAAGGCATGCCTTCCCTAGGGCTCTTTTCCCTGTCCCCTGTGTCTGCTGTCTCACACGTGTGTACCACCTGGCCCCACTCCACACAGTGTCCATGAAGACAGGTAAGAGAGAAAGGGACGCCACCTTAAGAACTCCCTAAATGGCCCTGCCGGTGGTTGAGTGTTGACCCTTGAAAGCATATATATATATATAAAGAACTCCCTAAATGTTCAGTGGAAGCTTGCTTTGGTGCACATGGGCAGGGGTTCCTTTAGAAAAGGCAGTGATATTGAACATGCCCAAGGTCGAAGACTCCTGGAGCTGTGGACTTGCGTAAGCACCTGGGAAGGCACTTCGCTGTTTACAGAATTCTTTTGGAGCCTTTTGGGTGTGGGCGCTTGGGTGTGTGTGTTTCGGAGGTTCCTGTTTTTCTCATCCCAGCTTCCTGGCAGTGCTGCAGGTGAAGGCGACGGTGGAGATGCAGAAATGAACAACTGGGAGCTTTGGATGGACTGGCTGCAATAGTGAGCAAAGAACAGCAGTGAAGATATTTTACCCAAGTGAAGTTTTGGGGAGTGATCTTGGGTGGTGTCCAGCCTCGGTTTCAAATAACATTAACACCCCTTGGGAGAGGGTCATCGCCCTTCAATGCTGAGCAGGGCAAGGAGAAAGCCTCCTTTGGTGTTAGCAGGCCTTTAGCATATTTTAACACTTGCTCTGCTGCAATTTCAACAGCGAGGGGCAAGCAGCAGTCTGGGGTCCTTGGGCCGGCCTGCCTTAGCTCCTGGTTGGAATTTTCTGAAGTGGTTTTATTTTCCTTTAGTTATCATTCTATGTGTGGCAAATGATTATGGTTTTCTATTTATGGTTGTGAGGAGATGCCCCTTTGAAATGCAATCATTTAAGTAAAAAAGTCTACTTAAAGAAAAATATTTGAGTAAATAATAGAATAGGTGGTATGTAGCTGTGGCAAAAATGAAGTGGTGCTGAAAATGAATGGATGTTGTAGTGAATTATTTCTAAACATGTCTTCTACCTCAGGAAATGTATGCCTTTCACTCCAGAATCATGGGAAATTAGAATTGTGAAGTTTCACAACAGAGAGGGATAATCTAGTCCAGAGTCCTCGTTTTCTAGTTGATGAAATGGAGGCTTTGAGGGATGTGACTGGCCCAAGGTCACAGTGTTCTCTTGGCTAATAATCTCTGTGTGTGTACGTGTGTGTGTGTGTGTGTGTGTGTGTGTGTGTGTGTGTGTGTGTGTGTGTGTGTGTGTGTGTGTGTGTGTGTGTGTGTGTGTGTGTGTGTGTGTGTGTGTGTGTGTGTGTGTGTGTGTGTGTGTGTGTGTGTGTGTGTGTGTGTACTGCTGGGGTGGGGTGGGCTGAGCAGGGCAATAGCTCGGTATAGGGCTGGGTAACTCAGATTGTCTTGGAACCATGAAGAGAAAAAGAGAAAAGGGGGGAGACATTTTTGAGCAAAATGAAAACTCCTAGATAACAAGGAGGGAAAATCCTTAAAAATCTGTTTTCTTGCTGCAGCAGCAGGGACAAGGGCTGGCTGGCCTCCCTCACTCTAGGCAGCAGTGGCTCCTTACAGGGAATGTGGTGTTAAGCACAATAGGTCAGCATTGAACTTGGACAGAGTGTGATGACTGATTAGGAAATGAGTGTAAGTCATGGAAGGCAAGTCCTGACTGTGGTGATGCTTATCAGCACCTCGCCTGCCCGGAACAAACACAGCCGCCACGCTGGGCTTGCCCGCCGGCAAAACTGAACCCAGATGTCCTTGTCCCGGGGACAATTTAATTCTGGTTGTGACAGTCATCTGTGAGGAAATCAGGTGTCACAGGACTCAACCCTCCAGATCTGCTGTAAGGGTGGGGTAGGGGAAGAGGCTGTGGTCCCTGACTCCCCCTCAGTGTGAGTCTTGCTTTTTTATGAACATACTGAGATTAGGAGGTGGGATGCAGTCCAGAATTAAAGACGGCTCCCTCTGGTGGATGGGGGTCAGGAGCTCAGGGCATGGCCCAGAGTAGGAATTTAACAGACATTTGTGGAATGAATAACCAGAGGGAGACTCAATCCATCAGTGGGCCTTACATGGGTGCTTGGTATAGAACCAGCCCACTGCTCACCCATTTTCCTGTGTGGACAAACCACTCACCTTTCTCAGTGTCACTATTTCCTTATGCCTAATATTTAGCTAAGAAACTATGTACTGCTAATTTGTTGTTGGGATATAAGAGATGAGTCTAATGAGTGTGGTGGATGCCTTATCACTCATTCACTCAAATCATTCATTCATTCATTCATTCAACCAGCTTATGTTTATTAAGCATTTAGTGGGGGAGATAGCTTAGGCCTCTCCTTGTAGAGGTTAAGATAAGTAGACTTTGTCAGTTTTGTAGATAAGTAGATAACCAAGATGATGCTTTCAGATGATCACACAGGTTAGAATGCAATAGTGATCAGATAAAAATAGTAATAGTAATGATATTGATAAAAGCTAACATTTATTAAATACTTCCTATGTGCCACGCTTGTAAACAGTTACTCGTAGGATGCATTGAATCCTCACCACCATCCTGAAAGAGGTGTAATCATTATATTTCATTTTATAAAGGGAAACTGAGGCACAGAGCTAGATAATCATGGGAAGAGATGGGCTATTTTAGCCAGCGTGGTCAAGAAAGATTTCATGGCAGGTGACATTGAAGCAGGGGCCAGAGTGTGCATTTCTGTGTGTCTCTAAAATCCATGATTCCCTCTCTACTCACTCCAGCCCTGCCCCACCATTGTTTGGTGAAACCTACCATCTCACTCATTGTCACTGCAACTACCTTCTAGCTAGACTGGCCCTCCTTTTTGCCAGAATAGTGTGACAATGATGGGAATGGTGTGACAATGATGGGAAGGGGCAGACAGACTGCTAAAAGAATTGGGCCCACTGACTGCTCCATTGACCTTTCTCATGTGTGACTTATTGGTGTCCTCTGAATTTGAAGTTTACAAGGCTTAGAGCCCTGGATTACATAGTATGGAATAATAGCTTGCCACCATGTACTTACCCCTAGGGAGGCTGGGTGTGTTTTGCCTCTTCCCTTAAACATTACTGTGGGAATAGGGGCAGAAAATAACCCAGTGGTGAGGGCAGTAATCAGAATCATCTCCTCAATACACATAGTGCAATGAGGTTCACAGCCTACTCATCTCCAAGACGCCACTTGGGTCTCCAATGACCTTGGAGAGCAGGGGTGAGGGCAGTAATCAGAATCATCTCCTCAATACACGTAGTGCAATGAGGTTCACAGCCTACTCATCTCCAAGATGCCACTTGGGTCTCCAATGACCTTGGAGAGCAGAGATTGTTACGCATGCTTGGAAGATCAGAGAAGTGAAGGTTGAGATACTTCAGAAGTTTAGTCAAGGTCACACAGCTGGTGGGGAACAAAGCTGGTGCTTGAACTTCTGATAAATAACAAATCTGCTAATTCTTCTGACCACAGGCTATAGGGATGACGTCTTTCTTAACAACCACTGCCACTGAGTGTTGTAAATGCTTACTCTGTGCTGAAATCTGAACCAAGAGCTTTATGTAATTAACCCATTGAATCCTGTTGCATGGTGCCCGGCACAGTGCCTAGCACATGGTGAAAACTCGATTAATGTTCACTTATATAACTCTGTTTTTGGAAAGGTTAAGTACCAGTGGGGCTGAGATTTAAATGCAGGCCACATGGTTAAGGGGTTTGTCTCCTGTCTGGGACACGACACTTAGGGACCCTTAGGTGGGGTCCCCTAAGTGCCTCGGTGTGTGTGGGACAGGGCATACTGAACTGCAGAATTTTGCAGCTTGTCTCTGATAATACTTTGAGTTTCTCCAGTTTCTTCTTTGAGTTACTCTTCAAAGCCATGTCAGCCTTGGTTCTCCAGTCCTGCAGAGGTGATTGGAGCTGTGGGCCCCTATGTCGTTCCTCTCTGGAACCTCTTCATTTCTCTTTGCTCAGGAGAAGCTGAGAATTGGAGGTCCTGATGGAGGAGGATTTTTTCTCACTGTGCCTGAGGGATGCACATTTCTTGGAAGGGTTGGTAGAATTCTATCCCTATCAATGTAGTTGGATTTGGAGTGCAGGTTGTAAGGGTTTCCTGCTTTGTGTTTTGCCAAAGTAGCAAATATAAGTGGACAATGTCTTGGCATTCCCTCATGTCTATTCCAGGCTGCAGCTTATGTTTTCTATGCTTCATTTTGGAAAGAATGGATCATGGATGTGGGGGCCTGTGCTCAGCAACACAGAGAAGGCAAATGTCTTGGGGAATCCAGACCCTGTCTTAGTTTCTGGGATGTGGTGGAGAAGGGCAGATGACTCCCAGTGGAAGCTGTCATCCACAAGGTAAAATTTTAGCCAAGCTTTGAAATACATTTGGATTTTGATAGATGGGGGAGGAAGGTAAGCACATCTGATAGAGGTTAATACCCAAAATATATAAGAAATTTAAATATTTTAGCCAAGCTTTGAAATACATTTGGATTTTGATAATGATGGGGGAGGAAGGTAAGCACATCTGATAGGGGTTAATATCCAAAATATATAAGACATTCAAACAATTCAATAGCACCCTCCCCAAATAACCTGATTAAAAAATAGAGGAAGAAAATTTTTTTAAAAAATGGAAGAAGGATCTGAATAGATATTTCTTCAACGAAAACATATGAATGGCCAACATGTATAGGAAAAGGTGCTCAATATCACTACTCATCAGAGAAATGCAAATAAAAACAACAATGAGATTCCACCTCACACTTGTTACAATGGCCATTATCCAAAAGAAAATAATAAATGCTGGTGAGAATGTGGAGAAACTAGAACGCTGTCCATTGCTGGTGGGAATATAAATTGGTCTTGCCCCAGTGCCAGACAATCCAATTTCTCCTGGTATGTCCCTGGATCACCCCAAGCCACTGCCCCAGTGCTGGAGCTCAGAGGGAGAGAGTTTGAGTAAGTCAGTGTGCTGGCCCTTTAAGAGGAACTGCCTGGGACTCCCACAACCCCATGTCACTCAGACACAATCCCTGGTGGTTTTTACAGCCTTAAGTTATGGGGACTTCTCTTCTCAGCACTGGAACGTGCTTCTCATGGGCGGCCTCTGCAGAGATGATCTCCCTCCTGATTAAAAACACGCCACACATGGGTGTAGGACCAGCCTGTTCCATGCCTCAGCACCTCCTACCAGTTTCAATGTGCTTTATTCTTTACTTATTTAGCTGTAGGACTTCCATTCAGCCAGTTTTTAGGTGGTTCTGAATAATGGTTGTTCTGTATTTTAGTTGTAATTTTGATGTGGTTGTGGGAGGTGGCAAGTATCAGTGTTTACCTTTGCTGCCATCTAGGTTCTCCCACTTTATCACCTCTTTAAAGGCCCCATCTTCGCCCTAACCAGTTTGGCTCAGTGGATAGAGCGTTGGTCTGTGGACTGAAGGGTCCCAGGTTCGATTCTGGTCAAGGGCATGTACCTTGGTTGCGGGTACATCCCCAGTTGGGGGTGTGCAGGAGGCAGCTGATC